TATCTACATGTACATGGTATTTATTCTACATGTATTGTATCTACTGTACATGTACATGTATGTAGCTAAGTTACATGTACATGTATGTAGCCTCATATGTACAAGTTTATGTACATGTACATGTATTGTATGTATGGTGTGGCTGGTAAGCAGTGGGTTGAACGGAGTGAGTAACGAGGACGAGGTGCATTAAGCTTGCTATTGTATGTGATCAGCGTACATGTATGTATGTATCTTGTGTACCTGTATGTATGTATGTGTGGCTGGGAGCAGTGGTGAGGAGTGAGAACGAGAGATGAGGTTGCATAAAGGCTTGCTATGTGTGTGATTACAGTACATGTATTATGTATCTATGTACATTTACATCGTGATGCTATCTGTATGGCAGGCTGGAGCAGTGGTTGAAGGAGGTCGAGAACTGAGGATGAGCTGCATAAGCTTGCTATGTGTAGTGTATGATCCGTAATAGTATGTATGTATCTATGTTACATTTACATGTATTGTATTCTGTTAGCAAGGCTGGAGCAGTGGGTTGAAGGAGGAGGAACTGCAGCGATGGAGACTGCATCAGCTTGCTATGTGTGTGATCACGTACATGTATGCTATGTATCTATGTACATTAATGCTATGTACTGCAGGCGAGGCTGGGAGCCAGTTGGTTGAAGGAGGCAGACACGAGGACGAGGTGCGGAAGCGCCCATGCAGCGGCGGCGAGCGCGCAGAGATCGCCGCCGTCGATCGTCGCAAGAACGAGCCGCATCGACGCGATGCGCAGATGATCGATGACATCTTCGGAGCCCGTGACTGCAGACGGAGACGGCACATGACCGCCCGTACCCGTCTCACGCAACACCGCATTCGGGAGGTGAGTAGTGGTGGCGTAATAAGGGAGTGGGTTTAGGCGTTTAGCAGAGATGCCAACCACTACGATTTATCCGTATTTTATACGAATTTTTTCTACCAGTTATTGCCATACAACTACGCAGTATTATTATTACAATTCGAAAAAAAATTAATTTTTATTCATATTCAAGTGTTTTGTTTCAGTGCTTACATTGATATAAACATTGATTTTGAAAATAACAACATGTAATTTAAGCCAGCCAAAATATCAGATGTAGAACTTATTGTCATTTTGGGGTCCCAGAATGCGGGAAATTGCATCTCGGAATCAAAAAATTCCCGGGGGGTGCATGTCCCGAACCCCCGGCCCTAGCATACTCAGGTCACTGCATGACCCTCAGACTACAGATTTCAGACATCCTCACTACAGTTTGCCTTCAGAAAAGTGTTGCATTCTCTTGGCGTTAGAGTTAAGCTGATAGGTTAGTCACGACAGTTGGCTAGCACGGGAAGTTGCGGACAGCGGGGCTGACATGTGCTAACACGGGTCGTAGGTCGACGATGCGTTGGGTGATTGATTGATCGCATCGAATCCCCGTTGACAATTGATTCTGATTGATCGGATTGATTGGCCAGGGACCTGGAGGAGTCTAGGAACGCTGGCGCTGCAGGGAGGAGGACACGGCAGATCTTCGCGGCGTGGAGGCTGGAACGATTATCAACGACGAGGAAGACATCAGCGACTACAAGTTTGTCAGTTCCGCGACCACCATACTTTCAAGGTTATATATGAGAAAGAGAGAGGGGAGAGGAAGAGAGAGAGAGGGGACGGGAGGAGAGAGAGAGAGAGGGGCGGAGGAGAGAGAGAGAGTGAGTGCGGGAAGGTGGAGAAGAGAGGAGAGAGAGAGAGAGATGATGAGAGAGAGACGAAGAGAGCCGTGAGGAGAGAGGGCGAGAGAGGGAAGAGGACGAGAGTAGAGCAGAGAGAGAGGACGAGACTAGAGAGAGAAAGCAAGGAAAGAGAGAGAGACTGTGAGAGGAGAGAGATGGGAACGAGAGAGAGAGAGAGAGAGAGTAGAGAGAAAGCTCCAAGAAAGCAGAGAGAGAGTAGAGGAGAGAAGAGAGCGAGAGAGTTGCGTGAGAGAGAGGAGAGGAGAGAGAGTGGAAGAGGAGTTATTGATGTTATCTGCGAAGTGTTTTGTAAATTCGTTCGTGAATATAACGTCATATCGGACATTATAAAACGTCAACATGTCCGCTCCTTATTATTTCGCGTACCGCAACGCGTCGGCACATCGCTACCGTGGAAGCGTCTCCTTAAAGGCACCTATTTACCGTATAAATATTTCCAAACATGGCCGCTCCATACTATTAAAACACATGGCCGCCCTCTGCTGTGTGTTTCGCTGCAGGGCAACCGTGTTCGCCACTCGTACGTGAAGCTGTCTGCTGAAAAGCACCTATTTACCGTATAAATATTACCAACATGGCGCTCCATCACTATAAAACAACATGGCCGCTCCCGCCGTTGTTTCGCGCCAGGCCAAACGCGGTCGCCACTCGTACGCTGAAGCGTCTGCTGGAAGGCCGCCGCTTGCTGCCGCTGCGTAACGACTGCGCGACACGCCGCGTCGCTCGTCATCTGGGAAGAGTGATCTGCGCTTCAATGGGCGAATTTCCCGAGCCGAAGCGCGCCGAGCTCGCTTGGGCAGCTGCCGACAACACGCCCGTCATGACGAAAGATCTCTCGACGGCTGACGGCGCGCGGAAAACCGTCGCGAGTTCCAGAACGCCATTCGACGAGTTACGAGAGTGATCGTGAGTAAGCGCGGGCGGCGGGGGATACTGGTCTTGTGGTGTGCGAGTGTAGTGGTGAATGCACGCGGCACTAGGGGCGGTGTCCAGGGGGCGGTGTCACAGGGCCGGGGGCGGTCCAGGGGGTCCGGACCCTCTGGCTCACATTCAGAACGCATATAAAGGGTCTAATTTCAAAAATTTTTCTCCAGACGCCCCCCTTTGTGCTCGGCAAGTTTGGGTTGAATGGTTAGGACCCCCCCTGGTAAATATCCTGTCACGCCCCTGGTAGTGGTGAGCTGCGCAGTGGTGCGCGGGGCAAGGGGCAGAGTAGAAAGTTACAGGTGCTGTGTGACTAGGCGATCTGTGGAGGTAGGTTGTCGGTCTAGTGGCTGTTTATGCCCCCCGGTCGACGCACCATTTTGAACGTAGGGTGTCGCTAGCGCACAGTGTTAGTAGACCCGCCGTGAATGTAAGTGTTACTCTGTCTAACACGTTGGCGCCCTCTATCTAACGGCGTGGCGCCCTCTGTCTCCACGCAGGAGAACTTCAGACATCGCGCACAGCCGCCGCAGCATTTCGTAAGGAAGCCTGTCTTCAACTCGTGGCGGCCCTCTATCTAACTTATGCATCCCTCTACTCTAACGCGTAGGCGCCCTGCTGTCTTCCGCACAGATGAGAACTTCAACCATCGGCACAAGCCGCCGCAGGCATCGTAAGAAGCCTCGTCTCGCCCTCGACTCTCCGCTAAGCGTAGTCTAAGATCGACGGCTGCATGACGCAGAGGGCCTCGAGCGGGACGGCAGTGGAGGCGGAGAGTACAGCAGCGACTACTTGGCCTCGAGGACCGGGCCGACAATCGAACCTGAGAAGCTACACTTCATCATCTGTGGCAACGGCATCCTGCGGGCCTGAGACTGCGGTGTCTCGTCGTGGCCTGCCCACCCGGTTGGCGGTGGGGTGAAGCGCGGGGACAAGTGGCGAGGGTGGCGAGAGTTTTTTTTTGTTTATGGGGGTAGTTTTTTTATTGTCTGCTTTTTTTTTCTTTTTTGTTTTCTTCTGTTCTTGTTCTGTTACTTCTTCTTCTTCTCATGCTTCTGTCTTTTTTCTTTCTCTTCTTCTTTTTATTCTTTCTTGTTGTTCCTCTCTCCTTCTTCATATATTTTCCGCTCTATAAACTATTTCTTGTGTTACTTTTTTGTCTTCCCATTTGTTTTCATCTTACTACAGTATCTGTGCGCAGGCTATTCATTAAAGTGAATTCGTCACCAGATAAATAGTAAAACTAAAAATATAAGTAATTTCTGTTCCTTTTTATTGGTTAAATTTGCTGCATTATTACTTCCTGTTTTACTATTACTGTTCCGATGTGAAACATACACTCGGTGACATCATACATAGCCCAGTATAGCAAGCAATTAATGTCAGAAAATAATATCAAATCGTCCAGGTTTTTATTTTTATTTTTAACTAGTGAGAAACATCTTCATCAGGTAAGAATTTGACGGATACGTTTCAAGTGCCGTTAGTTCTGTACTTTTAATGTAAAAAAGTTTTTTTTTTTTTACATTTAATTTTATTTTACAAATTATTTACCAATAGAAAATCTTTCGTGACGTAATCAATTTAAGTACATATTTGAGCAATGATCGCGTACATGTGACTGGGACTGGGAGTGAATAAACACAGAATGATGTTTTACTGACTTCTGATGGAATGTATACATGGTGTACAATCGCATGTTATATATTTTTTTTCTGTGTTGTATTATCGGGAATCTTGTCGTAGATTATTGTATAAATATATGATTGTTTCGTCTGGCAATGCATGCACTAACGGAAGTATACACAGTGGGGTTGGGTGAGCAGTAAAGGTGGTTTTCATTGAGGCTGATTTTGCGTGTATGTGTGTGCTGCAGGGACGAGATCTACTGCATGATCCAGAAGGTGGTCATGCAGCTGACCCAGAAGGTGGTTTTTATTGAGACTGATTTTGCGTGTATGTGTGTGTTGCAGGGACGAGATCTACTGCATGATCTGTAAGCAGCTGACCCAGAATCCGTCACAGAGCAGCTACGCTCGAGGCTGGATCCTGCTGTCTCTATGCGTCGGCTGCTTCGCTCCATCCGAACGCGTGAGTCATCCACAACGTTACAGTTTTCTATAACCGTTTTGTCTATAAAGGGGCGTTTGCTTTGTTAGCGTTTGTTTTGTTAGCGTTTCCCTCGAGTGACACTTATTTATTATACACAATTTTGGCCGTATGTGTGTTGTCGATAAAAAATTCGACGTTCAAATTTACACGTAAAAACAACTTAAAAATACACGGTAATGCAAGACACTACAAACTGTACTTACATGTATGCATATTGTCAAGAGCTTGTAGTACGAGTACATGTATTATTAGCTGTTGATGTCATCCTTACCTTCACGTTTTTTCATTGCATCTGATTTGTTTATGACACTCAATCAAGAGCTAATCATACCTTCATTATTAAGCTACTTTGTTATTACGATATTATTAGTTCTTGATGTCATCCTTACCTTTACGTTTATTCGTCACGTATTTACGCTATATTGCACTACTTTATTAATAGCTCTTGACTTTTCTTTCCATCATATTTAACGATCATCGATCATTGTAAATTGCGTTGCAGTTGAACTACGTGAAGTATCTTCGTAACTTCATCCGTGAGGGACCTCCCGGGTATGCGCCGTACTGCGACCAGCGGCTGAAGCGCACCTTCCAGAACGGGACGCGCAACCAGCCGCCGAGCTGGCTGGAGCTGCAGGCAAGCTTTGTTACCCTTGTTACCAAGCTTAGTTACCCTTGTTACCAAGCTTAGTTACCCTTGTTACTAAGCTTAGTTACCCTTGTTACCAAGCTTAGTTACCCTTGTTACCAAGCTTAGTTACCCTTGTTACCAAGCTTGGTTACCCTTGTTACCAAGCTTAGTTACCCT